AAGTAAATATAAAATTAAAAGAAAGCACCGGAGTAATATATCTGATTATCGTTCAGAGCAAGTTTACCAAAATAAATAAATAAATTACATGCTTGTAAAACATTTTTTTTTTTACCCTGTGTGTTTTAGAAGCATGCAGGCCTTTAATGAGTATTTCAACGACAGTGGAGGAGTATCTTAAGGATAGGTAGGATTTTTAAGCTCACAAAACGCTGTGATGGTCGTAGTCTTTAATTTGCTACCTAACTAGCAATATGCCCAAGTAATTCACAGGAATAAATGGTGCCTTCAACACCTGTGTTTGTGTGCGCGTGTGTGTATCGACATGCAAGTACTTGCCTGTGTGCGCTTGCACGGAGCAGCATTGTTATGCGTCGTGAGTGTGCGTGCAGTTGCTCACTTTGTGATGCTGTGCTCCGGGTGTTTACGCTCGAAGTGGATCCTGTCCAACCTAAACTCCCCCATTTAAACATTTTTTTTTAGTATATATTTTAATCTCACAAACCATTAACTTTGATTTTTTGTTAAAATGGTGGAAATGAAAAAGCATTTATAGCTATTATTTATTATAATAAATCCATTTTTCCACACTGAGAGAAAAGTTATTACTCTGCATGGACCATGCCAGTCACTGGCATAGAGAGTGAGTGCCAGGCACGTTCATTTACTTTATACCAGAGGCACTCAAAGTGCCAGTGTAGGGAGCCAGTTTATGATGGAGGGCTATAGAAATCCACACGGGAAACACTTACTTTGCAATGTCACTGCTCAGAGGGTGGTTTGTCTTGGTGGTTGTCATTTTTGTGCAAGTTTTGTAGTTTTGGGGGGTTTTGTTTTGTTTTGTTTTGGGTTTTTTTTTAAACCACCGATGGCATTTCTTGAAACCAACTCTGTTTCTTAAGACTTATGGTGGCTAGAGCAGAACTGAAAGTTACATGAACTTGTTCTTATGCAGCTTCTTTCTACTCTACATGAGCATTCAAAGTGCTTTATAGAACATGCATTCGCACAAGCACCTTTTTCTGTGCCTTGCCTCTAGACTAGTGCTTTCTCTCTAACGATCGCATACACCTACACTCTGGTGAATGCATCGGGAGCAACTCAGGGTTCAGTATCTTGCCCCGGGATTTCTTGGCATGCAGATCATACCAAAGTACGCTTGGGCAACGAACCACCAACCTTCCCATTAGGAGACCACCTACTCTATCTCCCAAACTACAGCCACCCCTAAGAAGTTAAAACAGAAGAAAACTGTTCCTTTTGTCTCATTTTGCACCATTATACGTAGCATGAAATGTAGAGAATCACATTCTTTCTTTGTTGTGCGCAGGGGCCGAATAAAATGTTAACAACGGCCACATTTGTGACCACAGACCACACTTTTAGAACCGTGGCTTGAGACCACGTTATGATCTGAAATGAATGATTTTCACTTTGTAATCAGAGATAAATCTTAAGGAATGCTGCAGAGCACTGAGACGACACAAACATGTAAAAATGCAAATAGATGAGTGTTTTGTTTTTTTAAAATTTGCTACAGTAGAACAGATTAGTTTGAAAATCAAATCAAGCCAGAGTTACTGAAGTTTTTATGGAAGCACAATCAGTTTACAGATGATGATCACTGGTCTCTGCTCTGTTTGTACCTGTGGGATTTTACCGGAAAGATAGATATGTTATGTAATGTCATTCAGACGATGCGTTCAGTGTCATGGCAGGACATTGCTTTTTAGTATTAATGGCAGAGGGTGTATTCTTTCGTGTGATGCGTTCAGGGGTGATTCATAAATGCAGCGCTTTCCCCACACACAGTCGTTTCTCCCTGGTTGATTTTTACGACAGCGCATACATGCAACCATGGCCCCGTTAACTGCAGCAGAGACTGCCCCAGCAATTTAAAAGACATGAAGTAAACTTGTAGTATTTTTTATTGTTTATGGCACATTTTCTTGGTCTCTTCATAAAGT